GAAAATATTTTCGTTTTATCGTGCGCGCTTGTTTGGCTAACTTCCGGGTTGCCTGCATCATGGCATCCGGAGACGAGTTTAGAATTTCAGATTGTGAATATGGTGAATACGAATGTGCGCATGAATGCAATCAACGTGGACCTATATCCCAGCTATCCGCAATCTTGACTTCTAAAAAATATTACAAAAGAAAATGTAAACGATTTTTTTAAAGGTTTTGAATATTTTGTAACCGGTTTTGTACCTAGCAATGTAAATAGGTTATGTTATCATGCTGAGCGACGTCATCCTGTTGCGGTTTCCTGCAAGTCCTGCAACAACGGGCGCTAAATCCTTTCGCAGAGACACAGAACACGGCGCTATCCACGCGGCTTTATTAGCTTTCAACTTGGAGAGCGTTTTGAGCACGTTGCTCGTACGTGACGTGCGTATCACTCCGCCATGTGTGTAGCGCATGTTGTGGTCGTAACTGGCAACAGGAGCGCAGAAGCATGGAGCACTTTGTAAACGGCTCGAATCTTGTAGTCTTGTGCCACTGCAGCCAACTATAACTACATAACAGGCGGGATTTTGCCGGACACAAAGCTATTCGCATCACAAAAGACTGTGCAAGTGACGCACACGCATACAGCGCAAATATTCCATTAAATTTTTATGTTATTTTATGGAAAATGCAAGTCAACAGAGGTAAACAACGTCGTTGTTTTGTTTTTAGTTGTTTTCCGTCAATTTCACGCCGATATTTTCATTTTTATGTTATTATTGAGTTGAAATTACTTTATGCAACCCTTTATACGTGTTGTGTGGGTTGCGTTCGAAAAAAAGCGAATGTCTGATTCCATTTCAACTCAAAACTCGAATCTATTGAAATCGAGGGCGCATAAAAATAGTTTTACGATCGCTAATTGAAAATGTTTTATTACGACAGTTATGCGACACGTTCGAGTTTTACTTTCTTCGCTCGAATTAGGTTATACACATATGAAAAATGCACATTTTCATCGTTTCATTTCAGTAAACAAAACATTTTCGTTGATTTTCGTTGAATTAACGTAAAATTGCCAAAAGGATTTCCAAGTAAACGTCTCTGAGTAAAGATTTAATGCATCTGCGTTTAATGTATTTTCTTCTGAAAACTTTGTTTATTTATGTTTGTATTTTCCTTGTTCCGGTGCTTGTTTTTTATGATTGAATTTGTCGCGGTCGCAACCTCGTTCGAAAGCTTTTTAAACTTCCACAGTAATTAAGCCCCCCGCTTAGGAAACACTTTAACCGCTTTAACGCTTTTCAAACGCTGCGTTAACGTCACACCGCCGCCTTGCGCTGTGTGTGTTTTTTTTATTGCCTACCTGGGCGAGAGATAATAAACGAACGCGCAGACCACCGCAGACAATTTGATTATGAATTTATGCAAGCGCGCGAGCACGCCGGCCATTTTACGACATAACCTCACACGTGCAGCACGCGCAGACCAGCGGCGGATAAATATTTATTTCGACGGTTTGCTTTTTTGTTTACGCGTCTGCGGCGAGGTTTCACGCGAATAACACGAAATTAAACGCTAAAAGCAAAACTATAAACGCATAGGTTATTGATTCACGTCGGCTGCGTTTATTTACGCTCTTTTGAAACGTTTTTTTAAGTTTCGTTTTCTGCGCTGTTTATTGCTTGATCACGGACAAGCAAATATTTTAGCAATGTATACCACCTAATAAACGCACACGAATAACATTTAATTGTTGCGCCATCTGGTGGGATTTATTTTTAAATTTAGATTAGATTTTGAGATGATTTTTGACAAATTCAATTGGATGTAACTCCTTAATACAATTTGTACATGTCTTGATTCGATCAAGGGCGTGGAACGTAGAGTAATCCGCTTTTCGCTTTTCATTTATCTCTGATGCGCTTCCGTACTGAGATTTTATTTACTTCGCCGTGAAGAAATCATGTGGGCGTAAATTTCTTTGGAAAGAAATTGTGGAAAAGTACTTAAAAATTGATAAAGTTGGCTATTGTTGTCAGATTATTTGACAGTTATAGATAAAGCAGTCAGATGGCGTATTTTGCAGAACAAACCAATCGCTACCTGTTGAAACTTTTGTTGTTTTGTTGTTTTGTTTCGATTGGTGCAATTCATCGCCGCAAACCAAGCATGCGAACAGTTTCACTTTGCATTGTTGGCGTATTCTGTTGTAAATTCTAAATTAAACGCGTTATCAGCAGAAATTCCGCTCGAAAATAACACAACGCCAAAATGCAACCCAACATACACGAAATACAAACAACACCTAACATCAACATGCAGCATTAATCTTAACCTAGTTAAACGCGCAAATAATAAAATAAAAATTACAAGACGTGTGCGAAAAGCGAAAACCCGGTTATATTTTGTGTTTGTTGGCAGGAAAAAATTGCGCAATGTGGGTCAAGTACTTGCGCGTCGCGCTGCTTCGAATCAATTGGGAATATATTGAATTTTTAGTGTGATTGCAATCCTACCTTCCTTCCGATGAACTCTCCGGCGACTCGCAAACGAATCAACAATCGCTGCAAATCATTAATGAGGTGCAAAAAGCCACCGGATTTATGAATACATTGAAAATAAATTGAATAAGCGAAAATATTTAAAAATGCATTTAAAAGTGTATCAATGTGTTGAAGCCTGGAGAGAGAGTTCGTTGCCACTGACCTATTTCAAGTTCGTTCAGCCATGAATAAGTTTAATTTAGAATGTGTGTATTTTAAGAGCGCAGTATTCTATAAATATGTAAGACATCTTTTCCTATAGCATGCATGCAGTGCAGCGCGAGTTCGTCGGGTATTTATGTCGTGTGACTGAACGGGTTGCATTTTGTCGGAGTCGCCGAAATTTATTTTACATAAACCATACGCACACACAGGATATTCCAATTGAAATGTGTGCTATAATTTTTTTGGTGTATATTTGGTTGCAGATATGCTGGGGAGTCAAGCGGTGTCAATAATGTTGAATGGGGAAGAATCAGAGCTCACTTTTGCAAACATCTCAAATTCCAAGGTAAAATATTAAATTTCGGAAGTAATAGGGGAGAGTAGCCATATTTGGACCATTTTTATATTTTTTGATTTATAGAGCCACATATAAACTGTCAATAAAAATTAAGTAGCGGAAAAGTAACTCACAAGGCTTACCAACAAAATGATATTTTTGGTTTAAGTAAAAATTATATTTATACCCCTCAAATTTCAATTTAAAAAAATTGTGTTTTTGGTCCAAATTAAGAAACCGGTTTCCTAAATTGGACCGCGCGGTTTCCTAAATTGGACCATGGTTTTTTAACGGCAATTGACACAATAGTAAATTTTAGTTTTAGCACTAACATAAGCACATTTTGTATAAACCAAAGTGCGGCATTTCATACAGTGGATCATTTCGAAGATTTGTGCTCGTCCACAAGCTTTTCTAGGAGGTCGAAAAAATGATATACATTTTCCCTGTTAAAACCCCGGTGCCTGTCTTCGGTCCAACTTGGGCAACTTGAAGAATTTATATTTAATGATCAACGACAATCTTAATATAACATAACCTCTCAAAATTAATACTATAAATTATAGATAAATAGAGAAGCTTTCTGATGATAATATAATAATCAGTAAAACTAACGTTTAAACGGCTTGACAGCTCTTGCACTTACGTCGTTATAATAGATTTGATAATCAATGATACACGAAGTTGTTGCCACGACGAAAGCACGCGGCAAGTTTTAACCCAAATAGTTGCATTAATTGTTTATAAATACGAGTAAAACGAGGGGCCAGTCAATTTTTGCACAAACTTCAACAGTCCGCGGATATCGTGGTGGTCCAACTTAGGCGCTGGTCCAAATTAGGCTACCTTCCCCTACTAGCACTAGAATATATAAAATGTGTTATTTTATTGCCTAGACATTAATTTTGTGTTTTTTGGTTATGTTTTTAAGGATATTGACAGAATTAACCCACCTGATGCGTTTGTCATCCTTTATTCAGTGGTGGATAAAGCAAGTTACTTGAAAGCAGAAGGTGAACTTGCGCGTTTGCAAGATGCTGAACTTTTACGCACGAGGCCCGCCATCTTAGTCGGAAATAAAGTGGATTTGGCTAGGAGTCGAGCTGTATCAACACAAGGTAACCTAAAAAAACTTAATAAAAACATTTTCTTAAACACAATTTTAAACTATATTAATAATAACAATTTAAATCATATGATACTCATATTTGTATTTAATTTAAAGATGGCAAATGCTTAGCATGCACGTTCCGCGCAAAATTCGTCGAGATATCAGTAGGCATCAATCACAACGTCGACGAATTACTGGTCGGCATCCTCACGCAGATTCGGCTCAAAAGTTATCAGAATGAAGCGTGCGAAGTCAGCCAACAGCAATGGTTCAAGAGTCGCGGCGTTGTGCGCGCTAGCATGAAAGCACGCCAGATGTTCACGTGGCTCTTCGGCAAAGAGGACTCCAAGTTCAAGAACTGCGAGAATCTGCACATCCTCTAGCTTCCACGCGTGCGCACTAGTTAGTTAAGTTTCTATCATTTTGTAAAATTATTCATAAAACAAGCATACTAACATATAGATTTATCTAACATTTTCAAACATTTAATTTAAACTGTTTCCACAAGGCAGAAACAAAAAACATAAACAGAAAACTTGTAAATGTGAATGTAAAGTATTCTTAAAAGTTACAAAACTTTCAGGCCTAACTGTATAACTTCGAGAAATGTGTGTGGAGCGCACAAATTGTAAAAGTGTAGCGCAGCGCCCTCTAACATAATCAAACCGAACCAAAATCAATCATGTCGACCAATACCTTCTCATAATGGCAATCTGTGTCTGTTGTCGCGCAAAAACTGATTGTAAACGACTAACAAAACAAAACAAGAGTATATAGATTAATGTGTATAAAAATAAGTTAGAGCCGTGAGAGAAACGCATGCGAATGTGAGTGAACGAAGTGTGTGAGTGTTCGAAATTATAATGCGGCCGCTGCTCCGCACCATTGATTAATAAATGACAATAAATCGGAGACGTTTGTCTCGGGATACATTTTCGCCGCCATGTTGAGCTTCGTCCAGACATCTTTGTTAGCCGCCTGTTCTGAGTGCACGAAAGACACCAGAGGTGCACGTAGAGGATAACCGGACACAATGCATGCGTTTTTTCCGCTTTCCAAGCTGGATTCATACATCATCCTGTCATCCATCGGTAACTCCTTAAATTATTTATATTTTAAGTTTTAATTAGTTTATAATTTGTTTATTTTTCATACCTGATCGACTTTTTGATCCATGCTAATTGCCAACACCCATTCACGCACACGATCGTGTTCGTCCTTATCATCGTTGAGATATAACTGCTCGGGGATTGGAATGTTTGAGGGGAAATCCGTTTGGCTCAGGTCCGTGTGATCGATCAACTGGGATTCTTCATCTTCAATCGCTTCGCAGATGTCTAGATAGTGATTGAGGAATACGAAGGCTTCGGAATTTCGTCCTTCTGCTCGTAAATCCAAACCTGTGTTGTTGAAAGGATATAAAAGTAAGTACAATTAAAAGTTTTTAATGAGGTGTGTAGTACCAGCTTCGTAGAATCCTTTATCGGCTGGTATGATATCTGTGTAACGCAAAAGTGCGACGGATATTTTCGTTCCGATGTTTTTTAATACTTGCACTTGTCGACAAACGCAACGCACAGCGTAGTAATGCACAATTAAGAGGAGCGTTTGGAAATGTATTTTGATTTTCATGTCGATGTTTGGGGTAATGTCCAAGCCATTAACCTAAAAATTAATTTAAAAAACATTTTGAGGTTAAAACAGATTTTAACCATAAATTTGAAAATTTAACCTAAAAATTTATTAAAAACTCACCAAATCAAGTAGCATTTGTCTTAATTGTGACCATTGATAGTAACTATCCGCTTCGGACATATTCGGCATCGCAATCACATTGAACGCAATCCGATTGTAAATATTAAAATTACTTGCAATCACCGGTGTTGTATAAGACAGGAACAACTGTAGTGCCTCCATTGTAAAACCGTCTTTCAGCAACTGTGAAGCATACATTGCAACATATTTATGCAAAACATTACCACCATAGGTTTTAGCTTTCTCTATACAACGAATCCATTGTCCTTGCTCTGCTAACAAATCCAATGCTCCCATTATATCTACAAAATTTCAATTTATAACCTCAAATTTACACATTTAACAAATTTAAGGTTAGAACACATACCAACATCAGCCAATTGCTCAATATTGCCATCTTTTGCAAGTTGATCCTTGTTACAACTCTCGATATAACCCAAAAGACTCGGATCTAATTCTTTAGCAACTTTTCGAGCGTTTTTCCAATCATCAGCCAGTATAAAACAATCAATAGCTTCTTTTATCATGTCAGCACTTATATACAACTGTGCTGCAGCTGTGTGTTCTGATAAATCCCTTAATCTATAAAAAAAACAACCAAAAAATCATTAAAATCAAGAAATTTTTCAATTGTATCAAATTTTACCTTGGTGCTAATTCTTTTATAACATCCTCAGCTTCATTCCCAAACAAAAACTTGTTTATCATATCAGCCGCGCGTAATAACGCTCTCCTCACAATATCCTCGTCAGCAAAACTCGTATCAACTTGCAGTAAACATTCAACTGATTGTTTATGCTGCCCGGACATAGCCAATTCATTAGCACGCGATAAAATCATTTCCATGCTCATATCCGCGCCACCGGTGGCTCTTTTAATCGCATTATACTCTGTTTGAAGGCTTGGTAATAAATGCGGAGTATAATCCTTACACACCCTCAAAGCATCCGACCATAATTCAGCTTTCTTATAGTTTTGTATAATCATTTCCGGACTCTGTGCGCGTAACATCAACGATTCAAACTCAGTGTAGTTTTTCTCCTGGAAACATTGCAACGCCTGCGCTTTCAACACATCAACAACCGAATGTGGTTCGTGTGTTTCCGCAATACGAATTGCACTCTGCCAGTCGTTTGCATGCGTGTACATTAACACAGCTTCTTTTGGTTTTCCAGCGAGGATAAACTCAGTTTCGGCTTCGTTGAATTTCCCATCATCTTCCAGCGCCATCGCGTAGTTGTAATGCACATCAATTTTCTTCGATGGTAAATTTTTACACAACTGAAACGCGAAGTCATATTGAAAAGTCTCGCATGCATAATCAATGCACGATTCTAAAATTCCAAACTTAGTGAGTAGTTTAATAGCTGAATCTATGGGTAATGTCCGCGCCCAGAGGAACGCAACTTGATTAGCAGCTGTCGCGCCGCCATTTTGTTTCGCTACACGGTAAGCTTCCTCCCACATATTAATAGTTCTATACATATTCATCGCTGCTTTCCATTCATTCGTAGCAAGATAATGCACTTCGGCAGCGCGATGTTTGCCTTGAGTTTCCATCTGCTGCGCGAGATGCATGTGCGTCGTAGATAACAACTCCGGATGAAATTGTTCAACGAGTCTTATCATATGATCATATTGTTCCGCGTGTTTGTACATTGTAATCGCAAGATCCGGTGAGTTGACAGCCAGATACAACTTTTCAGCCTCGCGGTATTTCCCGTCTTGTTTCAGCTTTTCCGCTTGTTTTAAATACATATCGCCCACATCATCCGGGTCTAAATATCTTGATGCGATTATGTGGGCTTTTTCCCATTGCCCGGCTTCGTTGTACATGTCAACTGCTTCTTTATACATTCGTGCTTTGATAAACATTTGTTCCGCTGAGGTGTAATCACGTTGTTTTGCCAGGTGTAGTCCAAGTTGAGAGTAATACTTCTGTAAGTGATGAGAGTCATGATCATCAACAACGTTGATAATGTGTATTGCTTTCTTCCATTGTCGTGCTGCAATTGAAGCATCGAGAGCTTTTAGAGTTGAACCTGCTTCGATGTAGTGACTTATCGCAGCGTCTGTTTGTTTTGATTCAACAAGATGATCACCCCATTCTTCTTCTAATAAGACAACTTGTTCTGGGTCGATTACACGCGCCATGTCAACTGCTTTATTCCAGATTTTACCTTTTCTGTAACATTCCATTGCTTGTTCTGTTTTGTTTTGTTTCACGTAAATCTCAGCTGCTTGCTCGAATAACTCCTGTTTTATTAGTTTCTTTAAAATATTTGTGACTAAAGTATGATCTTCCATTAAGTCATCATGGTTTAGTAATAAATTAGTAATTCGTGATAGTTTGTTAGACTTGTCATACATTGTCAGTGCGCGTTCATACTTTCCTTCTGCTTCTAAAATTTGTCCCGCTTTTTCAAACTGTTGGGTTTTTAGTAATAAATTCATATATTCTTCTTTAAGTTCTGGTAATTTTTCATAACCTCGTTTTTCAGCGGTTTCAATAGCTTCATTCCACTTATGCAACTTTTTGTACATGTCTAATGTAGCTTCTAGGTTACCATGCTCTAAATAAATCCCCTCTGCTGTTTCTAAGTCTCCGTTGAGTATACTCAACTGTGCCCAGACTTCCTGGTTGTCTTCATCTTTCAATAATTCATCTTCGATTTGTTTAATACAATAAACTTTGGAAATATTACCAAGTGCTGCATAGCAACGATCAAGTAGTTTTAAATTTTGTTGTTTGATAGCTATATTTGACAGATTGAACCACATAGCTTCCGCTTCCGGTGCATTCCCAATGGTTTCAAGGAAAAGCACAGCTCGTCCATAGTCACTATCATGAATTGCAGTACCAAACTCAACTAAACCTTCATCCAGCTCAAAAGTTAGGTTAACATTGCCATCGAGTGCAAACACTTCCGTTTTGTTGTTGAATCTAGCCACTTCATAAACTTCACCCTTGATATTCATGATTGTAGGACGTTCAGGTAGGTCAATATTGTACCAAATCGCAAGAGTAGTTCCCGATTGAGCGATGGCAACGTCCGAACTTTCCACCCATTGAACAAAAGTCACCCCGCTGAATATACAAAGCCGATTTCCGGTCATAACCTCAACCAAAAATAATCTCTGCTTGATATCTCTAAACAACAATTTGTGACATGTCTCCGATAATTCCAACCAATCAATTTTCGATTCGTGACTAATTTGAGATATACCCATATTGTATATGAGGTCTGTTATACAGATTGTTTTCAGATCCAGTAAATACGCCAATTTTTTATTGTCAGTCTGCGAGCGTTCATTCAAACGCACGCTGATTAGATGCGGATTGGCGAATTCAGTCCGCACGGATGCGAGCACGGTATTATCACCGTATTCAATCAGAGACAATTCGCCCGCGTTGAATACCAGACATACATTCGGATTCTCGAAATAAAACTTTTCGTGTTTGCCGGAGTTATTCCAGGAAACTTCACTCATCAGGTTTTTATCGATGTCCGCAACCAATAAGGTGCCATGTGTGCGGGCGACTACAAAATTGTCACGCCCCATAACCTTCAAATCTTCGATTTCTTTACCGTAGTCCGATCGGAGGATTAAACCTGCACTATCGTTATCAAGGTTTTTAATTAATACTTGACTGGGCCCCACGTAGGTTATTTCAAGTTTATCTTTCCAGATTGTACGCTTGAGTACTGATTCAAATAGACATACATAACCTCCATGTGTACCGCACGCAATACGGGAACCATCTTTTTTCCATGATAATGACGTTACTGAATACATGTTTGGGATTGTTTTCGGTGGAGATTCTTCCCACATGGATAATGATGGATTCCAAGCGAATACACGGACTTTGTCATATCCGCCAACGGCCACAGCCTGAATTAAAACGTTTTTAATTAGTTTAAATTTTAATTTAAAAGTTAGTAGAATTTAATTGTGGTTATGTTTACCTGTCCGCTCGGACTACAACAAGCAACCATGAATTCATTCTCATTTTGATCCTTGGTATAGTCGAATTGTTTCGCGATGCGGCCATTGTTGTTGTACACAACAATACGTTTATCGCTCCCGCCGGCGAATACGAACCCCTGCGGCCAAGAGAGGGCGTACGGTGGTACCGAATGAGTAAATAATCGTCCCTGCGGTTCATCGTCATCATGTTCGCCGACATAAAAGCGAATGACGCTGCAATCGATGTGACCCGAAACGAAGCCGCTTCCGGTTGCATTCGAGGCTAAAGCTACTACCAAACTATCGCTGCCGTAGAGGGTGTGACTTTTATTGGACTTGGTTTGTAGTAAACGGACTTTTCCGTCTAGGAGGCCACAGATTATCGGTCCGGTTAATAACCAAATCATTGCTGTTACTGGACATGGTTGCGGGAATTTATTACAGATTGCCTGCGTAAGAAGTAAATTTAGGATCTTTTTTTTTCATTATGTTAAGATTACCTTCTTTTCACCCCATTTTTCGCCGATTTTATAAACATATACAATACTGTCGCTTTGTGCCACGGCGATTTTAGACGAATCTGGTGAGAACGCAATTGATTTGATGACGTAGCTCTTTTTGCCGGCTTCTGAATCGGCCGGTTTTGTTGAAAATCGGTCACGTTTTTCGCCATCATCGTCAAATATCAGGACCTGACGCTCTGATGTAGCTACAGCAAGCTTTTTATTATTTGGTGACCACGTAACTGCGACAATTTTATATTCGCTGTTCTAAAATTGATTTAATGTTACTCGTTAATATTAATTGGTTTTAAGAATAAGTATACCTCAGCTTCTAATATATTCTTTAAAAATTTGATTTGCATTTTGTTCTTTGTGTAAAACTCACTGACAAAATATTAATTTTTGAAAATATTGCTTCTTCTGTCGAGTTAAAATTGAATGATTTGTTTGTACTGAAGGAAAACGCGTGTCAGACTTCGAGAAGGATAATATTTGTTGTGATTGCATTTGAGATGTTGCTAAGTAACCGAAAATGTTAATTCAATACAAACATTTTTCTACTTTTTTCATGGAATTTTATGTAAAAAATTGTTGCGCACGCGCGAATTACGTGATTTATTCCATAATTTGCATTACTATTAAAAAATCTTGTTCTAGGTTATACAAAGGATTGAATAATAATTTCATGTAGAGATAAAATATTTAAAATTTGCTTTATTTCTATAAAATAATAATTTTTAAACATAAATTTTGTTTACAGGTGTATTGCGGGTTGAATAGGATGAACTAGCATGCCGCAGTTGTTTTTCCAGTACATGCGCATTGCGCCGTTCTTCGAACTCCAACTGGAGCCGCTGGTTGCGCAGCAGTCCCTGCTGATCATTGCGTTCGCCAGTCTACTGCGACCCACGAGTCGCACGCTCAGCTGTGTTATGTCGCTGCGTTTTTGTTTACATGTAATCAGCTGATTTTTAACTCTCCGACGGGCGAAAATCAACAAAATGCCTTTCATCTCGAAAGACTGGCGCTCCCCGGGTGAGGCCTGGGTGAAGACCGACGAGGGTTGGGAAAAACTGAAGGTGCTCGAACACAATATGTTGCGGTGAGTGTCAATTTAATCCGAAATCCGTTTCGTACGCTACTCGTATCGATTCAGACATTTTCTTTGTTCGTATGCTGTCGACCTGTCGACGCTCGGCTGTTTCGTAACGTCAACAAAGCGTAAACAGCAGGAAGAGGAAATAAATTATCGTTGTTTTGTAAACATTATTATTTTGCGTCTCGTTTCGGGATTATGCTTGATATTTGATTATGTACGCTTAATTTCCTTTATTGATTTAAATTTAGATTCAATGTCACCTAAGCGCTCGTGTGTCAAGTGCAGGCCATGCGTAAACAAAAGCATCGCGCATAAACAAGCGCAAGTTTTATGTTTTCGCTTTTACGTTTTGCATTTTTCTGTGGATGTTAAATTAAAATGGGTGCCATTAAGCGCACCATTTTAGAAATCGCGGCCAGCGATGCGTTAAAAAATGCCGTTTGTACACAGAATAATTCGTTTCGGAAGCGAAATAAATTGCCGCACAAAATAAAATATAATTGCGTTGTGTCCGCCATTTTAAATTTTTTTTCATTTTTCTTGTAGGCAAAAAGAAGACGCAGAGAAAAATGAAAGTTCGACGAGCTCGCAACCGCATTGCCACATAACAATAAAGTGCACTCGAGAGGTACATTACCGTTTTTTTTTCTTATTTTAACACAAAAAAATTATTAAAAATTTATTTCGTTTATAGATTGCTGGTTTCAACGAGTTGGACGAAGTTGTCAAACGATTAGACTTCAGAAACGCAGTCCGTGATGTGCGCCGATTTAATTACATCTGCGCTTTGCTGGATTTACTCGTAGGTCAACAAATGACCGCGCTATCAGGGTGTACACAACGCGTCCTGCTTGCTATGCTCGAGGAAGTTGCAAGTTACGCAACCGCCAACCAACACAACCCGCGTGCCCTCCGCCGTCTTCTTGCGAAACTACGCGCTCTTAGTAATGCGGAACAAGCTGCATGCTGGGGAGGCACGCTGGGTTCGAAACCACTGTGGAGACAACACGCGCTTACCATCAAGCGTATTCAGAGCAACGCCGGCGACTTTCAAATCAGCGAGCCGTTAATTGCCACTCAGCCAAACTTTCTGCAGCTGCCTGAGGAGTGCATTCGTGAGGTGGTGCTGCGTCTTTCAGATCATCGAGACCTTTCGGCTGCGGCCGACGCCTGTGACGAACTCACTGCCATCGTCAACGAGCAGCGCGTGTGGCGCGAGCTCACGCGCTTCCACTTTACCAAACAGCAGATTGATTTGATACGTGTCAAGTGCAATAAGAAGGACTGGCGTGAAATTTATCACGCTCTCATGAGGTAAGTGATCAAAGCAACAATTGAGTGTTAATTAATTTGTGTATGGTTGATTGGTAGATGTCATGGTGTAAGCGAAGAAATGCAATTTGCCGAAATGTTGTCGCTCTGCCGCTACTGCTGCTGCCTCTTCTGGCGATCGCTGGGCCACCCGTGCATCGCTGACCAATGCCCTGAGTTTAGGGCAAGACTGCAGGAAGCGGGTGGTATCTCACCGCCCAGCCCGGTGCCACCTTCGGCATTCCTAAAATTTTTCTCGTTATAAAGCGGATGCGGATAAATCTTTCAAGCTTTAGTTGAGTCGACAACGAAGCGACTCTTGCGTCCTGTTATCAAAAGATGCTTTAATTATATATCGTATATCTTCTATGAATGGATGTCATATTTTAGAGGACAGAGGAAAGTCACAAATCAATATTTATATGGTTGAAATGAGATTATAAAAAGTAATGTATTTTAAGCCTTTCAGAAAAGAGTCGAGCAGATTTTGTTTCGAGTATATCTCAATTTATTTTGTTGAGTAGCGCAGTGTTGGTTATAAGCATTTAATAATGTAATGGCGACTAGATTCTGTAGCGGTTCTCTTGTTCAATGGTGTCTCTAAACTAATTCTTTGCCAATCGCAAACACGTTTCGAGTTTGAACGTATCGAATTGCTTGAACTTGCCGAGTTCTTGATTAGAAATCAAATTTATTGTGAACAGATAACAAACGACTTAAGTAAGCCACATATACGAATATAAAAGTTACTATTTTCCTATGATACTTTACATAATCGCGTTTAGGTTCGCATGAGTTTTTATATGTTAGAATTGCTTATGTTATAGCGATGAATCACACCAACTAATGTTGTCTATATTATGTTTTGAATAGCAGTCATTCACGTTTAGAGAGTGCGTTAGGTGAATACCGATTAATCTCGATTTAGTGATAAAATATGAGGATCAATATAATGATGCAGCTGGTAATTTGTTATGTTATACTTTTTGTGTTTTGTTAATATACTATTTATTTAGAACTAAGTCTGTGGTATGGCATATCAAAAATCTATATTCCTTGATTTTTTGTTTATATGTTCACTTAGCTTGACTAAAATCTAAAAACAATGAATCCTGCTCAGGTTTGAGGAGGTATTAAATCGTTACCGTCAGAATTTGATAAAAGTACAGTATTTCCTATTACTTTTATTGAAGCAATATTAGGAAAATAACAAAATAATATAAATATAATAAATAATTCATCAGTCTTTTATAGCGACATACAACTAGAACCGTTTTCGTTTTGAATGCTTGTTTTAATCGGTGTTTGTGTATAAACAAGTTTTTCAGTCGCACTCTGTGTCAGTTTGCTATCTTGAATGCATTTTTCGTCGTTGCAAATAGTGTGCAATGGGTTGCGGGGTGCGGGGTGCTGGGTGCGGGGCAGTCTTATCGGCGTTTGTGCGGTGTACTTGCTTTTTTAGTATCGTGCCGGTTGTTGTTTGGGTCGGGCGCAAGTCTCGCGGCTCGTGTCTCGTGTTTAATTCAATAAATTCTTTTATATTGGATCATCAATCGACTGTATTTACTTGAATAGGACGTGTTTAGTGCTTTGTTAATAATTATTCAAGCATCGAATATTCAATATCTGTACGAGAGTAATCTGCGATCGGCTGTTGGCGTAGTTGAATCTTTGTTCGAGATTGTAGAAGAATTTGGTCGGGGAAACACCTATGAAGCTGGTAAGTTGAAAAATTGTTCGTATTTTCTATGACGCTGTTTTTCTGAAGATTGCACGCGATCGGAAACTCTTAGCAATTTCGGCGGTGTGTGTAAAGAGTATAATTAAGTGTAAAGTGTAATTATATTCCTTGACTTGCTTTATTTGAATTTGACCGTAAATTTTAATGAAATGCAAGTAAAATCAGAAAAATTTGAATGTTTTGCGGTAACTGTTTGCTTGTTTTGTTTTGAGGCGTCTGTTTCATACAAAAATAACATGGATAGTGTATTTCAGCTAAGTAAAGTTAAGTAAACACTTACTGTACGCTATACCCTCACAATATCGCCAAAACGATATTTTTACGAAACCATTGCAAGTCAATGCAAGTAGGTGTGCTGATGAGACCTCTAATGGTCGAAATAGCTATCCACATCAGGCTTGACAAATACTTGCATTGACTTGCAATGGTTTAGTAAAAATATCGTTTTGGCGATATTGTGAGGGTATAGCGTACAGTAAGTGTTTACTTAACTTTACTTAGCTTATACTCACCCTCTCGTACTACCTACCATTGTATTTTAATACCTTGTATTAAAACCACAAGGTGGCACTGTAACCTTGTAACTGACGATTACTGATAATTTATTTAATTTTGCAAAATAAATCCAACAGCTTAATATTATAATATTACAAAACTTGCTTTTAGTTGCATTATAAAAAAACTGTGTTGTATAGGTTTAAAATTTCCAAATTATTCAGAATTGTTACCTGCTGAAAAGAAATCTCAGAAAATAGCTTAAGTATTTTACCAGAAGAGGGCGACATAAATACTGTATTGAATATTTAAATTGATGAATTTATAAATGCACATTTTCATGAATAAACTCAATTTATCATAGAAATTATAACTAAAGATTAAAAATATATCTAGTTTAATGTCTTCTTTAATTTAAAATAACCAAGTTTCTTTTGCCAAGAAATCACGAAACAATAAATAACACGCGAAGAAAACACCGGAAACCGGAAAATTCAAAATGGAAAACCCACAGCGCGCGAATGCAATTAAGCCGTCGTGCGCCGTTCGAGCGGCGCGCATAAATTAAAATTACAACAATTAGCGCAACCCGCAACTTTATAAAAAAATTAAGAAGCACATCTTCGCCGCCGTTGGCTTTTGGCGTGTGCATGACGCATTGTTTTAATTGCGCCGCTCCTAATGAATTCCGCCCGAAACGAGGGCGTAATCGTTACACCCCCGCCGCCGTCGCATCGCCGACGAGAAGAACAACTTGTAAGAATCGTAATAACGGCGTGTAACACGGCGTCGCGACGCGCGCTTTTAATAAATAGTAATTAAAAGCGGCCCCAAGCTGATTATGATTTACAATTTCTAATTAAACGCCCCCAATGCGTTGAAGTAGAAAATGTTTTAGAGGTTTTATTTAGACACCAAACGTTTTGGATTAATTATTGTTCATTTATGATTAGAATTTACTAAGTAAATTGTTATTAACCAACCTTTACATGAGATAAAATAATTAATAATTTTTTGTTGGCCAATGATTGATTTTTATAAATTTTTTGATGCTTTATGACATGAAAAAAGCAACACGCTGCCCCATAATGCAATTCGAAAGCGTTTTACCCCCAAAAAAAGATAAATCGTTTATTTCTGATTTGTCATTTGCCACATATCGCCGCATCGTTTATTATTCACACCTTCAGCCGAAATGCGACTTTCACACACTCGAAACTCACCTACTCACATGCTGCATCGATTCGTTTTTCCGAAAAAAAGAAAGATGGAATGGCACGAACCGCCAGTGAAAGACAAAACCCATCCAGAGACAGAGCGGCGCACAAAGGGCGAAAAGACGAAATATCATTGAGCTGCCTTTTTGTCTCTTGTTTGTTGCTCTGCGACGCCGTTCGCCATTGTTGCGCCGGTCGCACTTTGAATACGGTGTGTGTGCGGTGATAAATTGTCTTAAGGGATCCCCGCCGTTTCTCAAGGGTCTTCTACAGGTGTATTTCTCGTATTGTTGCGCGTCTTCACAACTTCTCGATTCAAAACAAGGCTAGAAAAATAGAAAGAAGACTCTTGACTCTTGTGTTGGGCATTTTTTTCACGGTGTTTGGGTTGTGTGTGTGTGTATGCTAGTTGTTTGCAGATCGAGATTGATGCGTTTTTTATAAACTCCCAAGTTTGTTTTATTTCATTGGGGGTGGCCAAAACACCGACCTCTGGGGTTCTTTATGCCAGCAGGCAGTATGCTTACATGATGAGAATCCCGAATGATATCTATTCTTTTTCAAATTTGATGTGAAACGGGTGTTTTTTGTCTAGTTTAGATTTGTGATGTGTGCAACGGAATGCGGACGAATCAAACCGCAATAGTGGCGGGACTAGACATAGCGGCGCGCAGAAATTTCTCAAAGAAACAAAATAGTCTGATAGGGAATACAATAGAATGTAAAAAGTAATGAATGATTCGTTGTGCGATGTTATCTTAGCAAAAATTTATAAATTTTATTTATAGGTATTTACAATTAGTTTTTGCGCGTGATTTCATTAAATTTCATCAATTTTATCAATTAGATTTGCAATTTTGTTTGTAAAAAATTGAGAAATGCTAATAAAACACTTTAGCGCCATCTTGGAGTCAATTATTTACCTAAAAATATGATTGAATCTCAATACCTACTTTCAACCCTTATTTAACACCCCTTAAGTCATAATTTTCAATATTTTAATACTAATTCTGCTATTCAAGACGGAGACAAATCCAAAAAATCATAGTTCATCAAAATCTGTCCATCCGTTATTGAGTTTTAAAAGCTGAAACGAACAAAACCTTGTGCCCTATTTACCTAAGTTTCTATAGATATGAAATTCCGTAACGCGAGTTATATTGATAGTTGTGTGTATACGCACTTGTACTCGTTGCGCTAGGAATTGTAGTTTTTTTGTTATAACACGCGAACACGGTCTTACTGTAAGTCCGGAATAATTTTCTTCTATGCGGAATTTAATTCTATATCTTCCTGTATCGAAATTTATAGCGAGAAAATTCCGTAACGCGAGTTATATTGATAGTTGTGTGTATACGCACTTGTACTCGTTGCGCTAGGAATTGTAGTTTTATAATATAACACGCGAACACGGTCTTACTGTAAGTCGGAATAATTTTCTTCTATGCGGAATTTAATTCTATATCTTCCTGTATCGAAATTTATTGCGAGAAAATTCCGTAACGCGAGTTATATTGATAGTTGTGTGTATACGCACTTGTACTCGTTGCGCTAGGAATTGTAGTTTTTTTGTTATAACACGCGAACACGGTCTTACTGTAAGTCCGGAATAATTTTCTTCTATGCGGAATTTAATTCTATATCTTCCTGTATCGAAATTTATAGCGAGAAAATTCCGTAACGCGAGTTATATTGATAGTTGTGTGTATACGCACTTGTACTCGTTGCGCTAGGAATTGTAGTTTTTATAATATAACACGCGAACGCGGTCTTACTGTAAGTCCGGAATAATTTTCTTCTATGCGGAATTTAATTCTATATCTTCCTGTATCGAAATTTATTGCGAGAAAATTCCGTAACGCGAGTTATATTGATAGTTGTGTGTATACGCACTTGTACTCGTTGCGCTAGGAATTGTAGTTTTTTTGTTATAACACGCGAACACGGTCTTACTGTAAGTCCGGAATAATTTTTTTCTATGCGGAATTTAATTCTATATCTTCCTGTATCGAAATTTATTGCGAGAAAATTTCGTAACGCGAGTTATATTGATAGTTGTGTGTATACGCACTTGTACTCGTTGCGCTAGGAATTGTAGTTTTTGCGGAATTTAATATACACGCGAACGCGGTCTTACTGTAAGTCCGGAATAATAATTTTCTATGCGGAATTTAATTTTGTATCTCCCTGTATCGAAATTTATTGCTAGAAAATTCCGTAACGCGAGTTATATTGATAGTTGTGTGTATACGCACTTGTACTCGTTGCGCTAGGAATTGTAGTTTTTATAATATAACACGCGAACGCGGTGTTACAATTAGTTCGAATTAATTTTCCTAGATGCAGAATTTAAATCTGTATCTCCCTGTACAGCAATACATAGCCAGAAAATTCCGTAACACGAGTTATATCGAAAGTTGTGTGTGTGCGCCGTAGTACTCGTTGCGCTAGGTATTGTAGTTTTTATAATATAACGCGCGAACGCGGTATTGCAATTAGTTCGAATTAATTTTCCTAGATGCAGAATTTAAATCTGTATCTCCCTGTACAGCAATACATAGCCAGAAAA